TTCTACAGTAGTTCCGGTAAAGGAGACAAGATTGGAATCATCAAGCTGTTCTTGGGCGTTAGTTTGCCCAAACAGATTTTTTTGTGTTAAAATTGCTTAGATGATTCATTAATTCAGCTTTCTACCAGTACAATGTTATCGTACATTTGAAATTGCTCAGAGAATTTCTCTTAATTATGAAAAAAGATTCTTATAACATTTCCTTGCCAGAAGTCGACTTGCAAGAGATTTGATATCTTTCAGTTTGTCCAATGAGCATCTTTATTCCACTGGCAAATGTAAGCATGTTTCAAAATCTACAGTCCAGAATTTGTGGCAAAATGACATGAGAGGAAATTTTTTTTACTTGAGTACCGGTAAATCTTTTATTCACTGGATTCTATCCCCCTAAGTCAAAGTCAAATCAATTCTAAAAAGTCAAATCAAAGTCAAATCTGGATTCTAAGTCAAATCAACTAAATTAATTCTCTATTCTACCTGGATTAAGTAATTTATGACGGTTGTTGTATGAGGGCGCTCATTTCTGCAACATCGTTTGGTCTGTATGCTATATATGTAAAGATTCAGTGTTCCCAGAATTGTCTCATTTACATTTCTCTCTTTGGTGTATTTAACTTGAGGGCGCTGACCAGTAGAAACTCTGGGGTAGTAATTTGAGGATATGGGTGTGCAGAACAAAATATATAGGGAAATATACAGGCATTTTAATTTCAGTGCGAATGGGGCAGCTGAGGAAATCCTCTGTTGGTGAGCTGCAGAAGCTTTGAAACATAAAATAAATTTCTCTGTATTGCTCAGTCTACTGTCTTGGCATAATTGTGCACCCACTAACAACTAACATAGAAACAAAACCTCCCTACTTAATTGTCCTGTCATTTTGTTTCATGTACTAGTATGTTTGTTACTTATTCACAAATGTTTTTAAACATTTGCTGTGAAATGCCAAAAACTTGTCTTGTCATATTTAATTATAATTATATCATCATATTTTTATTTTATCCAGTATTGGCCCAAACATGGAATCAAGGTCCATCTGATGTCCAGGTACTTGAAGGTGATGAAGTGACATTAAAATGTAAACTTGATGGTGATGTAACGGCAGGGCTTGAACCAAGATGGGAGAGAACAATATCAGGGACAACTGAATCAGCCCTTATAGCTACTGAGATGGCTGGTTGTACACTTAATGACTGTGAATATGTTATTGATAATGTAAGTGGTTGAGTTTTATGTACAGTAACGCCTCGCTTAGTTGTGCCTCGATAAGTCGTGGTTTCGGTAGTTGGATGGCTCCCAAAATTTCTATTGCTTTGCCAGTAGTTATGAAGTAAAAGAACTGTTTTCTCGCATTGTATATTGGCCATTAATAGGCTGGAGGAGACGCCTGTTGGCTGTCGATTACTGAGATACAATATACAGGGGTATGAAGTCACGACTTTGAGTACTTCTTGATAAAGCTCTATGAAACTCGTTGCAATGAGTTGAATCCATGTGGAAATGGATGCTGCGATGTTGTACAATAAAGAAAACTTGCCATGTGTGTACATGTGCTTTTTATCTCCGCTGTCGACTTTGTCGAGCGAAACTTGTCATACGAGTGATCGTCCCTTTCAACTTTTTACTTTTTCAACTTACCGGTATTCTCAAAAACCAAAAGCCTGAATGCTTCGATACTTAGTGTATATGTACCATGGTACATGTACCTCCCTTAGATTTGTTCATTTCATGATATCTTCAATCACCTAATTTTGATGAATATTTTTGGTGAAAAGTGATATTTTCAAATTATTGCTGAAAACGGCAAGACTGATTGCTTTGATAACTAAACATAATGTTCATTTTCTAATGATATCTTCAGTTCTTTAATTGAAATGTGCCTTGCTTACAACGGAGCTGACACGGTGCTTGTTATCTATCTATGCATAAAAAAAAAAACTATCACAAGACCTCTCGGCCACTTTTTTGCTTGGATTCTGACATCCACAACTTAGCAAGGGGCCACTGTATTTTCCATTGCTCACATGCATTAAATTCTTCAAAATCTAACATTTACTTATCTCAAAATCAGCCTTGAACATTTCATCTGAAATTGAAATTATCCTGGATATTACATCAAAATTCAGCAACAAGATCCTGTTTTTTAAACATTGTGGGGAAAGATCATGCACTATGGTGATGCCATCTTGTTTACCTTGATTCATCGGTTGTGATGCCACAAAGTATATTTTGTGGCAGTGGTCGATGACTTTTGGTACTATGGCACTAAGGTATTTCTAGAGGTTGAGGTTTGTCTCATTTTTTTATTGGCAGTCTTGTCTGCAGTTGAATGAAACCTGCCTTGATTTACTGTAATTTTTCTAACAATGAAACTTCATTTCTGTCAATTTGTGTCACCAGTATTAGTATTTTATCTTTTAATCTTTCGAGTACATTTCCATTGACAGAGCTTCGAAAGGGTCTAGACAAGACTCTGTCCAAGTGCCCACAAAAAAAAAATTACTGAG